ATGGAATCACAAGCAGCAGGCATATAAGGGAGGGGGGCTGGGCTGGATTTTTGTCCACATAGCGCAGGAAGCTCTTGGTTAGTGACCTGCCGGACTCCCATAGTTAGCTCGTTTGTGGTGGTTGGTTCTGGTGCTTTGGTTCGTTGGTTTGGGTTTTCGTTTTTTATTTTTGCTTATTTTTTTCGCTTTTCTTTTTTTGTTTCCTTTTCTATTTTTTCATTTATTTTAGTTTATTTTTTTAGGTACTTTTCCTTTTTTAGATAGCATCGTTAGTGTTGCTGTCTAGGATGCGTAGTGAGTGTAGTAAGGGGATGGCCCAGCCTGGCCTTGAGGCCAGCTCCTCCGGTGAGGAAACCCTCAGGGCTCAGTACATGGTCCTGGGGAGGCTTGGCCAGGGTAGATACGGCCAGGTGAGACTGGCCTACCACTGCCTCACCGGGACCGAGGTGGCGGTGAAATGCCTGAAGAAGACAGTGCATAAGGCGTTGGAGGTGGATCTGATGCGGGCCCTGCAGCACCCGCACGTGATGCGGCTGTTCCAGGTCATCGAGGCGGAGCAGCACATCTTCCTGGTGATGGAGCACGTGGGAGGAGGGCAGCTGTGGCACCACGTGCTACAGTATGGCCGCCTGCGGGAGGGGGAGGCCCGGAGGCTGTTCTGGCAGATGGCCTGCACCCTGCACTACTGCCACACCAAGGGCATCGCCCACAGGGACTTGAAGCCCGACAATATCCTCCTGGACAAGTTGGGCAACGTGAAGGTCGCGGACTTCGGCATGGGCACCTGGTTCATGCCCGGCCAGAAGCTGCACTTCACGTGTGGTGCTTTAGCATTTCGGGCTCCAGAGGTCTACCTGGGCCACACGTACGAAGGCCCCAAGGTGGACGTCTGGAGCCTGGGCGTCATCCTCTACTTCATGGTCACCGGGAAGCTGCCATTCAAAGGCAACAGCTACCAGGAGCTGAAGCCCCGGGTCCTGAAGGGAAGGTACGTCCTCCCCTACCACATTTCAGCTTTGGGATGGAGCCTCATCAACTGCTTGCTGACCCCCAACCCCGCGCAGAGGCCCACGCTAAAGGAGGTCCTGCTCCACCCGTGGCTCAGCCACGCGGAGGACTGTCCACCGACACCTTCCAGCGAAAAGCCGTTCCCCGTCCGCCTGGACCCCACCATCGTGGTGGTCATGACAGACATGGGATTCGAATCCCGCAAGGTCCGGGACTCTCTGCTTCGCAGGCGATGCGATGAGGCCGCCTGCACCTACCACATGCTCCAGTGCCAGAAACGCCAGGGGCGCGAGGCCATCGTCCAACTGAAGCCCGTGCGTCACAGGGCGAGGTCCTGCCCATCCCCCGAACCTCCTCCCCCCTTCCCTCTGCCCCGAAAGACGAGTGCCAGTGTGCCTGCCCTCCGCCCCATCACCACCTCGCCCCATGGGCACCCGCCGGAGGACGACGCGCAGTCGGGGCAGGGGAGCGGCCGAAGGACCAAGTCTGCCTCGCCCCTCTCCACGCTTCAGAAGACGACGAACTCCCCACACACCGCCCCCCAGCCTGGTCCTGCGGCTGCCCTCTCCTCCTCCTCCTCCTCCTGCTGCTGCCACAGCAGTGGGGGGCACACAGACAGCAGCAAGTTGTCCCTCGGCACGGCCCTGGAAGAAAACAGTCCGCCCATGGGGAAACTCCAGGGCGAGGACACACCCTCTGTCTGTGACGCAGAGGGAGCCCCACACCCAGGGCAGCCCCCTGGTGGGACTCCACCCTCTACCAGTGACCAGCGCCAGGGCTGGAAGGCAGTGACCAGGAGGATGCCTGCTGCATCCTGAGAATGTGCTGCTGCCTTCCAGCCCGAAGGACTCGCCCCAGTAGCGGAGTGGCCAGGGAGCCGGGGGGACACCAGACAGTCAGAAAACCAAGTAGGTGAGTGGCCAGGGAGCTGGGTGGACACCAGACAGTCAGAAAACCAAGTAGGTGAGTGGCCAGGGAGCCGGGTGGACACCAGACAGTCAGAAAACCAAGTAGGTGAGTGGCCAGGAAGTCGGGTGGACACCAGATAGTCAGAAAACCAAGTAGGTGAGTGGCCAGGGAGCCACATGGACACCAGACAGTCAGAAAATCAAGTAGGTGAGTGGCCAGGGAGCCGGGTGGACACCAGACAGACAGAAAACCAAGTAGGTGACAAGTCCAGCTCAGCCTCTGCATTTTATGTTAGCTGCACTTTTGTTAATGTCCTTTCAATTGACAAGGAATTGTGCACATTTATGGAGTGGGATGCTGTGTTGAGCTGCATCTCTGTACTCACACACAGTGTGGGATGACACACACGATGGGAGATTAAATCACGCTACTTAACACATCTGGCACCTCAGAAAGACAGGTCCCCTGGACTCCACTTACATGGTGGAATCTGAACACGTCCAACTAGAAGTAGGATAGAACAATGGTTACCAGAGCTCAGAAGGGGAGGGCAGAGGAAGGAGGAGTCAGTCAAATCAGCTTGGAGTTCTACTGCACAGCAGGGTGGCCATGGTTCAGAGAAAAGTCCTGTGGAGTTTAGCCACTGAGTCCTTCACGTGTCTCCTGCATTTTAAGTAGACGCTGACATCACTCTGTGGAGGACCGGCCAGGAGTGGACTCTCAACAGCTGCAGCAGGGATCTGTGCCAACTGTCCTGGCTCCTCCACCTGGGATTCCGGTCAGGAGGGGCACCCAGGACCACGCTAGCCTTCCAAAGCATCCTATGCCAAGTGTGGTGAACTGAAAGATGCCCAAAGCTGCCTGGAGACCTGAAGCCGCTCCACCCCACCTGAGGGAACCATCAGAGACCTGCCTGGGACACTTCTCCTGTCCTGCTCTTCTCTGTCCTCTCTCCCATGGTTCCTAATAAGTTTGTTTCTCGCAAATCTTATAAAATTCATGCTCTTAAAAACTGTGATCTCAGGTATTCCTCTGTTTTGCATGTAGAATTGAGCCGTGCATGCTGAATTTGATGTAACTAGGAGTTAATACAAAAGCTTAAGGGAAAAGGAACTCCAGAAACTTATCCAGGCCACCCCAACAGCAACAAATGATTAAAAGAGCTTTGGAAGAGACAAGGCAGTGATCTCCTTGCAGGGCAGCTGCAGAAATGGGAACCCTGTGAGTGACGCAGATACTGATGTTACCATCTTCAGAAGGACCGGGGGAACTAGGTGCTATCACCTGTCCTAATTTAACCCACAAGTCCACAGTAGCAGGATGAAGCCCTGTGAACCAGACTGTGCTGGGAGTCAGGTAGTAGTGTTGGTGTGGCTCTCAGAGTGGCTTGAGGATCACTTGTCTGTGCTGAGTTCACTTTTCCCTTAGTGATGGTCTCTCCTTTTTTGAGCAGTGGTAGGGGCAGTCACTCAGAGGCCTGATCCAGGTGTGGGTCCTTCAGCCAGCCCAAGTTTCCTAGGGGTACTGAACAGTGTGCTGGATGAAGGTTGGAAGAGGATATATTGCAAGAAACAGCAACCCAGAGGAATGGAGGGAAGACAGGGAGCTCTCTCAAGGCAGGTCCCAGTTGCAGGTATCTGTGTTTCCATTTTAAGCAGTAAACATATGTTTGAGAAACCTATCCTGAAGCTTCATATAGTTCTAAGCAGCCTAAGTCAGGCCCCAGTCCTCAAGTGTGGCCAGCCACACCATTTGCACTGTTTGTCCCATGCAAGGACCCTACCTGCTCGTCATGGAGGCCAGGGATGGCCAGAGGCAGCTCAGTCCCCTTCACCCCAATGCTTATGATCTCAGCACTGACCCCCCCTTAAGTTCCATCTCTAGCTCCATCCCCTTCAGAGCAAGTCGTAGGTCCTCACAGTACGCTCCTTGCCTGTCCCCTGCAGACCTCACCTCCACACCTATCTCCCTCCACATAGCATCATCCACTTTGCCACAAGCCCATCCCACCTCTGAGCCTCTGCACCTGCTCTTTATTCCCTGGGAATCCAAGCACCTGGATAACTCCACTGGGCTCCCAGGAAGGTGAAGACAGTTCCTTCCCTGCAGCCTTTCATCCAGCTGGGAAGGTGAGCAGGGACCTCAGCAGCAACAGACCAGAGCCCCACATTCACAGGTACAAAAGTAGGACCCACAGAGACCTGCCCACCTGTGCTCAGATAACAGGACAGCTTCAGAAGGAGGAGACTCCAGTGGGCCCAGGCCTGGGGGTGACCCCGGGAAGTGGGGAGGACACCTTCCTGCAGAGGGAGCATAGCACAGGGGGCCTACTGCCTCCAAACGCCTTCTACCATGATGTATCTAAAGTGATGTTTATCAGAGAGTCCACCTGCTTTCCTGCTTTCCTACTGATAGGGCATTGAGCTTGCTTGCGATTTGAGGCCATCACAAATAACACTGCATAAGTGGTTGTCACTACCTCTGATTATTTTCTTCATAGTACCCAGAAGTTACTGGGTAAGAGATGTTTATGTTCCACAGTTTGCAATTATCTGTGATGCTCCAGAAAAGTAGAACCACGAGTGTTTATCCATGATACATGTGGAAGGTGCCAGTCCTGCAGTGTCCTTACCACATGGGTTCTCTTTGGTCTGAATCCTAGATAGCCAGATATGCAGGAAGCTGTACTCAATGTCCAAATCGAATGCAGGGCTCATGGAGTTCCCTAATGAGGAGTGGAGGTGGGGGAGGGGGCTTCATGTGGCTTTACTGAACCATGGTCGGTGCACTCTTACCTTGGGGTGAACACAGTCTGTACCTGTGTGTGTTTCTCCTTGCTGCAAAGCCTCTCCCTGGCCCTCCTATGCCCATTCTTGCCCTTTGCTGTTGCTCCTTGACATTTGTGACCTGTCCCCCTGTCCTGTGATTTACAACTGGTCGCAGACTGAGTTAGTCATTACTGTTTACCTGATGGAAGAACTCCCACAAGATGTGAGCTCTGGCGGGGCATGGCTGAGTAGGAGGGAACCTTAAAAGAGGTGGGAAGGGGATGTCCTGGTGGTTTCCTCTGCCACTGTTCATTTCTCCCTTAGAGCACTATGCTAATCCACCTTCTTCCTGGGACAAAATGCCTGGGATAAATCAACTTATAAAGAGGAAAGATTTCCTTTGGCTCATAGTTGCAGAGGTTTGAGATCATCTCACTTGCCCCTGTTGCTTGGGCTTGTGGCGGTGCAGTACAGCATGGTGGGAGTGTGAGGAGCTGCTCGCTTCATGGTAGCTGGGAGGTAAAGAGAAAGGAGGGGCCAGGGTCCAATTCCCCCACTCAAGCAGCCCTAATGACCTAACTTCCTCCCGCTAGGCCCCACCTGCTAAACATTCCACCACCTCCCAATAGCACCACAGGTTGGAGACCAAGCCTATGTAACACATGGATCTTTGGGGGATGATTCAGATCCAAACTACAGCAAGCACCCAGCAGCTGACTTACGGCTGAGCCACACACACCTCTCCCCCAAGCCAGGTTGTGGTTGACTGAGCGTCTCCCTCCAGGGAGGCGGTGCAGTGATTTGTGCCACTTTTGGGCTCTTCCCACTGGGGAGAGGCAGGCCCTTCCCCTTCTTCCACCACCTGCCCTACTGCTGGAGAGGAGCTAAGACTACAGCTCAGCATCCTGGTTGGGCGGGCAGGGGGATGAGGCAGAGGAGCTTCCTGGCGCAGCCTTGCCCAAGCTGTCCGCTTCTGTTTGCTGCTCTCACGTGGGCTCTTTGTTTCAGTGGCAGATCCGTGTCCTGACCAGCCCAGCAGGTGTGCTGGGGACTTTTCTATGTAGTTTCCTTGAGTCAGGCTGCTCAAAGGACCCCACCGTCTGACACTTTCAGCCCTTGCTTCCCTGGAGTGACGGGTTCTGCCCACTCTCCTGTCCAGCTACTTTCCTGGAAATCTCACGTATGAAAGTCAAGGGCCCCAATTCAGTGCATCGGGAGTTCTCCGTCTTCCAGGCCACTGGCTTGTTATTCTGCCCACAGTGGGCACCCCCAGCCTCTCCCAAAGGTGGAAGTATCGCTGCCTTTTTCCTGTTAACACCTGCAGGTTCTAATTAAGGAACTCGGAATAGGTGTCACACATGGGGCATAAGTTGATTATCGCTAGAAAGATGAGTTTGGAACTGCCAAGTTCCTTCTAAACTGGTGCAGTTAACGCTGAATTAGAAAAGCCGACTGCATTCTTTTTCAGGAAGAAGACAGAGGCAAGGGTTGGGTCTGGGTCTGAGCTCATACCTCAAGAAGGATGCTCTCGGGACTTCCTAGGTGTCTGGTCTTGTCTATGCAGTGTTTTACCGCCCTCCACCAACCCACTAGCCTGCAGTGTGAATCTCGTCGGGGATTTGCAACCAGGTGCCGAGCCCACTGACTCCTCATTGGTTCCCTCCTTGGTATCTCCAAAAGGCCTTGCCCATCCAGGCTGGTTCCAAATACTTCATATGGCTGGAGGATCTGAGCAAGGCCACCAGCTAGGAGATGACAGCCACTGAAAGACAGTTTATCACTCACAGTTTCAAGAGGAGGAGATGGCATGTCGCCTGGGGCCGCACACAGCAGCACAGTGGGATAGGACAGAAGAGGGAGAGGAACTGTGGTCTGGAGGGAAGGGGACTGGGCAACAGGCTGTGAGCAGCCAGTTTAAGGGATTGCAGTGGGCTCTGGGACATGGGCTGTCCCTGAGGCAACCAGAAAGGGGGAGTGGCCCCAGTGGGAGTCAAAGAAGGTATTGGAGTATATACTAGGTAGATCAGTTTTTTGTTTTTGTGGGGTTTTTTGGAAGTACTAAGGATTGAATTCAGGGCCTCATGCTTGCTACACAGGTGATCTATCACTTGAGCTACACCCCCATCCCTTTTGCTTTGATTTTTTTAGATAGGGTCTCATGCTTTTGCCTAGACTGGCCTCAGGCTATGATCCTTTGACCTCTGTCTCTTACATAGCTGAGATTGTGGGTGCAAACCACACCCAGCTGGTTTTTTAAATAGGTCTTGTTAGCTCTTGCCTGGGCTGGTCTTGAATTTCCATCCTTCTGTC